TACGCTTGTTCTACCTTTCTTTTATTCCCGAAAGTAATTTAAATAATTCATTCGGGAGTCGGGGTATTACAACTATAATAGAGTTGTTGGGTATTGCGCCACGAATGCGAGTGAATTGACGACATCATGTAACTCTGAATTTGGGGACAAATTCTCCTTAAGGGGTGGAGGATTTGTAATAACCCGAATCCAATTTGGAATATTTAATTAATTTCGGAGGAGAACAAATATATAAATGGGTACTAAACCTTAAGAAATAGACCACAAAGTGTTGGAAAAAGGCCCGGAAAACCACCCCGAGCGAACGAGATGGGAAAAAAATGAGAAAACGACAAGAAGAAGGAAAAATATGTCTAGACCGATCGGTCTAGCATGTAGACACCAACTCGCCTCCCTACCCCCTTATATGCCCCAGGGTCCAGCCATCGTCGCAAAAAACTCTCCTGAAGAGTGCAAGTTAGCCATTGTTGCAGAGAAGTGAGAAAAGAGAAGAAAAACACCTCAGAGAGAGAGAAAGGGAAAGAAGATTCTATTAATGATCTACTACCAGCTAGTCCATCATCAATCAGTGTCAATCTATGACCACGGAAATGGCTGGACCGACCGGTCTAGACCCAGAACATGCCGGAAATGCCCGAAATGACCTGGACCGACCGGTCTAGGCCCCGGGAACGCCCGGACCGATAGGTCCAGACTTAAAATTGATAAAATTTAGCCGAAAAGGCCTTGGGATGAATTATACACCTTGGGATTGACCAAATTATGTGAAAAACGAGCCAGAACATGACAAAATGTAAAAAAGAAGAGTTGGAATAAATTATTAAATTGAATGCGTGGTGAGATGTACGACATACACTGAGTGAATTGTTGTATGTTGATTGGGTTTTATTCTCCGATGGGTCACGAGAAGTGATATCGGTTGTCACGAGAAGTGACATGTGATGGATGTGATGCTCTAGGATGATCATTCGATATGAGAACTATGTATGATACGATGTATTTATTGGATGAATGCATAATTTGTTCATTTTTTATTTTGCATATTTGATAAATAATGATTATCCATGGATCGTTATGAACAATCCTAAATTTCTTAGTCACTTGTCATTGTGGGAACAATGATGAATTAAGACTAACATGAAGCGTGATGGATGATCATAATGATGATCATATGTATTGGATACGGATCACGGTCATGGGTACTTATTTGGAACAAGTGACCAGATGACTCGCGTGAGATTGTCGATTGGATTTAATCCATGATTTGAATCTCACTTGATGGTTCACTTTAGATCCTCAGACCTGAGATATCTATTGTATGAGTAATGTACTTTGACTATGTCAAACGTCATCTTTAACCAGATGATTATAAAGGCATGGCTCAGATACATTGCGAATCATGTATGGATAGTAGATAGTCAAGATGGAACTTTGTCCCTCTCGGAAGAGAGAGATATCCCTTGGGCCCGTCGTAGGAGTGAGACTGTAGAAATGTGTGGCCACACTATAGATGAATGTCATCTATCTCTTACAGTCTACTCGGGATACGACAAAGCATTCGAACTGTGAGTTCGATTATGATATCGTGAGACAAAGAGGATCATCGTTGGAGCTATATATGGCTTTTCAGTTAGATCACATCTAACTCTTTCCGATACGGGTAATCATAATGTCTTGCTAGAAACCACTTATGATTTGTAAAGCGAGATTGGATCTCGCGGTTATTGTCGTATTCGGAGGGGTCTAAAGGGTCACACACATATGGGATGGACGTATATGTACGGGATCGAACGGACGAGAAAAATCGGATTTTTCTCGGTCTTTGAGGTCTTGTCCAGAGCTGACCAAGAGTTGGTCAACCGGACTAGACAAACTTGGGAGAGGCGGACCGAATGGCAGAAATAACTGCCTGTTCCGGAGCTGACCAAGAGTTGGTCAGCTCCGGACCAGATAGTCAGTCGGAGCAAAACGCGTGTGACAGTCCAGGATACCGTAGGAGGGCGGGGAGTGATCGCCGGTGCGAGAGGCATGGACAATGGGTGGCTCTTGACGAGCTACTGCGTAGGGGGTATAGGGATGAAGCGGATGCACCGGAATGAGAGGGATCCGAGGGCTGTGTAGGTATGGGACTACACAGTCTAAGATAACTTAAAGGAATTAATTGAGCTACTCATAGCAACAAGATGCATCTACCTTTTCGGTTGCCCATCTCGAGAGAACTCCAAAGTTAAGCGTGCTGGCTCTGGAGTAGTCTTAGGATGGGTGACCTCTTGGGAAGTACTTTCCGGGATGTGTGCGAGTGAGGACAAAACACGCTAAAAGGTCCCGTGTTGGTGTGTGGGGACAGCTTTATCATTCCGTAGCGGCTTCGGGTCGTTACAAATGGTATCAGAGCCGGTTCTCTCCCAGTACGGTGTGGTTCGTGGACGAACCAAGCGGAAGCTAGTGGGCCTGTGACAGCCCAGGATACCGTAGGAGGGCGGGGAGTGATCGCCGGTGCGAGAGGCATGGACAATGGACGGCTCCTGACGAGCTTCTGGGTAGGGGGTACATGGATGAAGCGGACGCACCGGAATGAGAGGGATCCGAGGGTTGTGTAGGTATGGGACTACACAGTCTAAGATAAATTAAAGGAATTAATTGAGCTACTCATAGCAACAAGATGCATCTACCTTTTCAGTTGCCCATCTCGAGAGAACTCCAAAGTTAAGCGTGCTGGCTCTGGAGTAGTCTTAGGATGGGTGACCTTCTGGGAAGTACTTTCCGGGATGTGTGCGAGTGAGGACAAAACACGCTAAAAGGTCCCGTGTTGGTGTGTGGGGACAGCTCTATCATTCCGTAGCGGCCTCGGGTTGTTACAACGCGTGGCTCGGAGTTCGGCTGGTCCGGCGGACCAAAAACTTGGTTCGCCGGACCAACAAGTCAGACGGAGCGCGCGTGGTCCGGATCGTGCCTGGTCCGCCGGATTGTGGACTGTCGGCAAACTCGGATTTGACGTGTGCTTGGTCCGGCTGACCAAGAGTCGGTCAGCCCTGGACCAAGACACTGAAAAATCCGAACTTCGCATTTTCTCGCCTTTTTCTTGGTGGAAAGCAAGTGGAGAACCTATCACTCGATCTAATCCCGATCCTTAGCCATCTGAGAGGCTAGGGAACTCTATAGAACTCTCTCTCAAGCTCAAGGGAGTGTTCTTGATCCATACACAAGAAAATTGTTCTCTTCAAGCTCTAGCAAGAAAGATTCCAAGTGTTGGAATCCATCCCATGGGTGTGGACTGCTAAAGAGGGTGTTGACACTTTCAACACCTTGGTTGTGATCACCTAACCGCAATCGGATTGTGAATCGAAGGATTTACAGGTTAGTTTTCTTCTCAAGAAAGCTCTTCATCGAAAGCTTAGTCCGTGGGCGGTTCAATTTCGTTTTGAACGCCAATTCCGCTGCGTAAACCCGCGGACCAGATCCTATCACAGTTTTGAACCGGCAGTCTAGGATTCCGTGTGACCCAACAACATGCGCGTGAAGCGCATCGATTGTCATGCGAAGCGACGGCCAACTTCATGAGATGTGACGGGAGTGAGAGGCACTCCTGGTCATGAGAAGTGACTAGAGTTTACGGCTAACCCTATGGTGCGAAGCCATACGGGATTTGATTGTTGCGCGAAGCAACGACCAATGTCATGAGATGTTACGGGCGTGAGAGGCGCTCCTAGTCATGCGATGTGACTAGGGTTTATGGTTGATTCTATGGTGCAAAGCCATACATACTTGATTGTCGTGAGATGCGACGACCAACGTCATGAGATGTGACGGGCGTGAGAGGCGTTCCTGGTCATGAAAAGTGACCAGGGTTTACGGCTAGCCCAATGGTATGAAGCCATACGAGAATTGATACGATGATGTTTTTATATGATATAAATATATGTTTAATATTGAATAATTATATTTTGTGTTTTATCGTTTTAATACCGTTCTCGGTTGGAACGAGTTTACCGGATCCAACCCGGATCATTCACTAAGCAGTTGTGCTTAGCCCTCGTCGTTTCATCTTTTTCAGATCACGAGGAGCACACTAGCACGTTTGGAGTGACGAAGACATCGAAGAGACGACATCGTGTACGGGGTTTTCCTTATATGTAAAATTTGAACTATGGGAGACAATCTTTATAATGTTTATACGGTTGTATCTTTCAATTCGGACATGTGTATTTTAAGACTTAAATGCTGTTTAATTTCGCTGCGTGTTTGATATTAAAATTTTAAAATTTCTGTATTTTTTGGTTTGTATTATTTTATTTGTTTTTCGTCCATGTGGCGTATTCTGTGACGGAAATCGGGATACGGGTATCACAATGTATCATTTGGATAGGTATTTAGAAACATATGAGCTGGCTCGCGAGCTAAACGACTTTGGTTGAGTCAGGAGTTTTCTGACCCAAATAAAAACGAGCTTAACGAGTTGGGCTGAAAATGAGTTGGCTCGAAAGAGATGGTCCGATCTAATCTAAACTTGGCTTGTTTGACATCACTACGATAGAGTCGCGCCATGTAGACAGTTGTAATTGAATTAAAAATAAAATTAAATTCAAGTACTACATAATAATATTATAATAGTTTTCCGAATATTCAATGTATCTTTATATTGAGTAACCTGATCTAGAATCCAAATTTATAGACATTGATATCCTATTTGAGTATTCATAATTGAACTTTAATATCCAATAAGATTGCATACTATATTACAGGGTTACCGGAGATTGTAATTAATTTATTTCGAGAAACAAACCAGCATTCCCTATATATAAATAATATGTCCATTGGATTTGTAGAAATAGAAAAAAATATATTAAAAATAGAAACCACAATCCAAATTCAAGAGACATAGCACCAATCACAAAGATTCCAAAAAAAAAAATCTATTAAATAAACCAATTCTATGCATATAAATCCCAAGCATTGGGAACATAGCACCAACCACAAAGCGTTTGATATTGTCTTTTTGAATGGCTTCTCATGTCTTCATGTTTCATCGGACTGTCAGTTCGATGCTGTTTCTTGTAATCACGACGTTGGTAATCACAACCTCCTCCGGAAGGAGAGAGCTTTCAGAACTACAAGAAGTTGAGATTCAAAAACACTTGAAACGAATCAATAAGCCTGCTGTCAAATCCATCAAGGTATATGTATATAAGTACACATACATATATAAATTATAAAATTTTCGGTTATAAAAAAAAATTATAAAATTTCTTAATTCATATATATAGATTTCGTGACGTGGGATATGTTCATGTTTCGATTATGTTATATTATGTTAGTGTATCACTTTTCATGTTGGTGTTTGAACAGAGTTTAGATGGAGATATATTTGATTGTGTTAACATCACCAACCAACTCGCGTTTGATCATCCTTTACTAAAGAACCACACTATTAAGGTATATATCTTTTTTCTTTACAAGTTGTTTTGCTTTTCTCCTTTTGAATCTTTTTTTTTGTTGATACTTTCTCTATATATAGTTTTGATTGGCTATTTATTTTACATTATTTCTTTTGTGTCGTTCGGATTGCCAAATAGATGAGGCCGAGTTTTATCCCAAAAGATCTTTTTAGAAACAATAAAAAACAATCGGGGCTCATAAGTACTCAGTTATGGCAAAGGAGTGGAAAATGCCCAAAAAACACTGTACCAATAAGAAGAACAACAAGGAAAGATCTCTTACGATGGGGTTCCATCGAAAGTTACGGGAAAAAGGATCCAAATGGCATTCGTAACTACGGATCTCACCCAGCTGCAAATAATGAACTCCCTAAACATGAGGTATATATATTTTTGTTAGCAATTTTACAAACATTCAATCCTCAAGTATGTTAGTGTTATTGACCCTTGTTGCATCAGTATGCTGTAATTCGAGGGAGAGTAGGAGGAATATATAACGGAATAGAAGCCGCAATCAACGTGTGGAAACCATATGTTCAAGAATGGAATGAGTTTAGTTTGGCTCAGATGTGGATTTTGGGCGGCATTGATGCTCCGGATTTTAATTCCCTCGAAGCTGGTTGGCAGGTTTTTGTCCGTTGGTCTTGTTTCATTCATATGTCCGATCATTTATGATTTTGACCTGACTCAAGCCATGGTTCAAAAACATTTGTTCATAGGTGTATCCAAGATTGTACGGTGACGATAACCCCCGTCTCTTTATTTTATGGACAGTAAGTTTGCTTGAACATGGTCTAATATTTCCTCGTATTTTCCCATATTGGCATACGATGTAGCTAATAAGCCATTCTCATGTGATGATGAAATGGGAAACTCAACAAAAAAAACAGGCTGATCGTTACAAAACAGGCTGCTACAACCACATGTGTTCCGGCTTTGTCCAAACCAACCAAGCGATTGGTATCGGTGGTGCCTTTGACCAAGTTTCAACTTACGACGGCAATCAATTTAAAGTCACACTACTTATAATGAAGGTAAAAAGAGAGAAATCTTGATTCTTTGGCCTAAATCACGTTAAAAAAAAAACTTCATATATAACTTATAGAGAAGTAATGGTTTTGTAGGATCCCCAGAGTGGAGATTGGTGGCTCGTAGTGAATGACGTGAGTGTCGGGTATTGGCCAAAATCAATCTTGTCGCATCTAAAGGGCTCTGCGTCAGGCGTCGAATGGGGAGGCGAGATCTTGAACTTTAAAGTAGGCGGCCGACACACGAACACCGACATGGGAAGCGGCCACTTTGCGGAGGAAGGGTTCAAGAAGTCTTGCAGCATGCACCACATTTCCATAGTTGACGAGCATCACGTCAAGAGGGAAACCGAGATCGATCAGACCATTGTGGATAATGCAAAATGTTACAATTTAGCTCATGGGAATAATGATCCTAACTGGAGAACTTACATCTACTTCGGCGGACCTGGTCAAAACCCTGGCTGTCCGTGAATGAGTGTGTGCCCATTTTCTGAAAGAAGTTGATGGAATAAATGTTTGCTTTAATAAGAGTAAGGGAAAACAAGCTTATACCATAATTCTTTATAAAAAAAGTATAATTTTATAAATTGAAATGGTCCGGTCCAATTGAAGGAATAAATGTTCCGGTATTTATAAAAAAAATAAATATACCTTTTTAAGAATTTTTAAAAATCGATTCTTTTCGATTCGATTCGGTTCTAGAAAATTCGATTTTCTAAAAAACTACCGTTCGAGAATTTTAGACGGTTCGATTAAAAAAAATACCGCATTTTTCGGTTTGGTATGGCTCGATTCAACAGAACCGAACCGAAAATCCCTACCCTACCTCCTAGTGCCCATTTTGGTCAGGTAAATATCATTTTGCGATAAATTGTAGTGGAGTCATAAGGATCGGACTTCGAAGAAACTAAACATAAAAAATATAGCCAAAACCTCTATTTTTGTCTCGTGGACAATAATATAAAACTTTTTATTTGTTCATACTACTTTAAAATAGGCTCTATGAGCTCATAGAGTAGGGATGTCAAAACGAGCCGAGTTTGCGAACCAGTTCGAAGTTGGCTCATTTTTTATCGAGTCGAGCCAAAACTATTGAAAACTCAAATAAAAAATAGACTGACTGAACCACCTCGCCATGAGTCGAGCCCAAACAAGCTAGCTCGGTCAGTTCGCGAGCTGATTTGGGAGCTGGATTGAAAAAAAAACAAAAATTCCTTACTTTGAAATTTGAAAGTGTTGATATTGTTTGTTATGATATTTTGATTTGAAAATAATTTTTTTATACATGGATTAGGATCTCAAGATGGTTTTTCGTACATGGATTAGGATCTAATTGTACATGGATGGATTAGGATCTGAAAATAGTTTTTTGTATATGGATGGATTGTAATTTGATTTATTTGAAGCTGATTTTTTGTATACGGATTGTGATTGTGAATATAAGTATGATTTGGATGTATTGATATATTCTTTTTATGTTGATGTATGTAATAACCCGAATCCAATTTGGAATATTTAATTAATTTTGGAGGAGAACAATTATATAAACGGGTACTAAACCTTAAGAAATGGATCACAAAGTGTTGGAAAAAGGCCCGAAAAACCACTCCGAGTGAACGAGATGAGAAAAGACGAGAAAACGACAAGAAGAAGGAAAAATATGTCTAGAACGATCGGTCTAGCATGTAGACCGATCGGTCTGGACCATAGCAAGACCGATCGGAGAAAAAAAACTAGGTCAAAAATGACCGGTCCAGACTCTGGACCGATCAGTCCAGGCGAAGGAAAATATTAGGCGAGCTTGCATTATTGGACGCGACAAAAACGCGATAAAAATGGGTCTAGCGACTGCCTAAGCCTTCCAACCTGTAAAGGGAGACACCAGCTCGCCTCCCTACCCCCTTATCTACCCCAGAGTCCAGCCATCGTCCCTAAAATCTCTCCTGAAGAGTGCAAGTCAGCCATTGTTGCAGAGAAGTGAGAAAAGAGAAGAAAAACACCTCAAAGAGAGAGAAAGGGAACCATCCATTCGATTATGTATGTGACACCCGAATCCCGCATCCCGGATCTAGGAGGGTCTCCGTTATCGAAGTCTCCGGAAAACGGCACCAAATCTGGCCAAAACTCAGATCCGAATTTGAGCAAAGTGAGTGGTTCGAGTTGCATCTATGTGAGCTCATTTTCATCATCGTTATAGTGTTAATTCGATGAAACATGGGCATGATTAGAAAGTGGAAGTTTTAATGAACACATAAAAACAAACCGCAGTCGATTTGGTGAAGAAAGAGTAAGATATGAGAGTTTGAAAATCGCCGAAAAAACTGAAAACTGCAGAGAAGTATGCAAGCTCACCCTAAGTCCGAGACTTTCGGGCAATTACCCAGAAAAAGGTCTAATAATTGAATGAATTGTTAGTTGGAAACAAAAAAGGACATTTCAAGGAGCATTTAGAAACAAACAGCACTTAATTTGGACAAGAAACAAGTAAGTTTTGAGCCAACGAAATCGGACCAGAATCTGGGACGAAAATCGCGAATTCGCGATCTGTCTACAGGCTCTGGACCAATCGGTCTAGGCTCTGGACCGACCGGTCCAGACCCAGAACACGTCGAAAATGCTTGAAATGACCTGGATCGACCGGTCTAGGCCCCAGGAACGCCTAGACTGATCTAGGCCCCGGGAACGCCCGGCCCGACCGGTCCAAACTAAAAATTGATGAAATTGAGCCAAAAAGGCCTTGGGATGAATTATACACCTTGGGATTGACCAAATTATGTGAAGAACAAACCGGAACATGACAAAATGTAAAAGAGAAGAGTTAGAATAAATTAATAAATTGAATGCGTGGTGAGATGTGCGACATACACCGAGCGAATCGTTGTATGTTGATTGGGTTTTATTCTCCGATGGGTCACGAGAAGTGATATCGGTTGTCACGAGAAGTGACATGCGTGTGAAGCGCATCGATTGCCGTGCGAAGCGACAATTAACGTCATGAGATGTGACAGGCGTGAGAGGCGCTCCGGGTCATGAGAAGTGACCAGGGTTTACGGCTAACCCTATGGTGCAATGCCATACGGGATTTGATTGTTGCGCGAAGCAACGACCAACGTCATGAGATGTGTCGAGCGTGAGAGGTGTTCCTAGTCATGCGATGTGACTAGGGTTTACGGCTAACCCTATGGTGCGAAGCCATACGGGATTTGATTGTTGCGTGAAGCAAAGGCCAACATCATGAGATGTGACGGGCGTGAGAGGCGCTCCTAGTCATACGATGTGACTAGGGTTTACGATTGATTCTATGGTGTGAAGCCATACATACTTGATTGTCGTGAGATGCGACGGCCAATGTCATGAGATGTGACGGGCGTGAGAGGCGGTCCTGGTCATGAGTAGTGACCAGGGTTTACGGCTAGCCCGATGGTATGAAGCCATACGAAAATTGATACGATGATATTTTTATATGATATAAATATATGTTTAATATTGAATAATTATATTTTGTGTTTTATCGTTTTAATAACGTTCTCACTGGGAACGATTTTACCGGATCCAACCCGGATCATTCACTAAGCAGTTGTACTTAGCCCTCGTGGTTTCACCTTTTTCTAATCATGAGGAGCACGCATACCACGTTTGGGTGACGAATACTTTGAAGAGACGACATCGTGTACGGGGTTTTCCTTATTTGTAAAATTTGAACTATGGGAGACGATCATTATGTTTATACGGTTGTACCTTTTCAATTCGGACATGTGTGTTTTAATACTTAAATATTGTTTAATTCCGCTGCGTGTTTGATATTAAAAAGTTTTAAAATACCCGTATTTTTGGTTTGTATTATTTTATTTGTTTTTTGTCCATGTGGAACATCCCGTGACGGGAATCGGGATACGGGTGTCACAACTGATGGTATTAGAGCGACGTTCCTTCCACGGGAAAGAGCGCCTCACTACCTTAAGATTTTTACAATGAAAATGTTTTCAAAAACTATGTCCCAAGAAAATTTTTCAAAGAACCGTACATACGATGTGTTGTCTGAGGTCACCGCTAATGCTATCTTAACCGTGGTGCAGTGAAATGGCGCCACGACATGCTCAGTCTACGACGGGAGATAACAATGTCCCCAATCATGTCCTCCAGGCTGCGGAGATTAGGGAATTTCAGGAGGAGATACGAAATGAGTTCCGTGGAGACCATAACACAAACCTTGATGGCATATCTCCCACCTCCGCCCCCAGCACGAGGTCCGGAACTTAGGGGGGAGGACCTGCCTCCGCCGCCACCTATACCGACAACGGTAGGGGACTATTTACCTATTGTTCGGGAGTTACGGGCCATGCACACTCCCAAGTTTGGAGGATCGCTGGATCCCGAGGCTGTAGAAGAATGGATGACGTGCATCAGACGAGACCTGGAATATGTTCAGTGTCCCCTGTGCATTCCTCATCAACCATGCAGTGTTGGTCGAGGATGATTGCGAGCTATGGTTTGTTGTCAATGGAGTGCCCATCAGGTACTCCATCGTGGAACACATCTTGATATCATGATTGAAATGCGGTGAATATCCGCCAGGATGGGAGTACAAAAGGAAAGACAAGTTCAGACTGAAGATGTTTGGGAATCGGAAAGTGTCTAAGCAAAACGTTCTTAAACAGCTTGAGAAGACGCCCATCGCAAGAAATTGGCCATGGTGATGATACTCGGAGGGATTCTGGACCATGGCACCACAGAAGATAGTATCAACAATGATTTGGTGGACATGGTGAATGATTTGGAGTTCTGCGAAAGGTTTCCGTGGGGCCGATATACATTTGAAAAGATCAATGAGCAGATACGGAAAAGTTTCGCGAGTGGAACTCCGAAGGAAAAATGGCACTGTCGGGGATTTATAATACCCCTTATGGTGAATATTTTTTGTTTAATGGATTATTTTAGAATTGTCATTATATATGTTACTATGATTTGAGGGTTTGTTTGTTGTGTTATAATGTTTAAACAATATTTTGCAGTTGCTTCCATTCGAATGTATATCCGGCTTGGGTTGCAATGGGTGGTATAAAGATGTTGAAGAAGCAGATCCGGGGTGTCCTAGGATGTGCAAGAAGTCCGTGAAGGCAAACGTCTGCTGGACTTTTGGTAATGTCATAAAACATATTGGAAAGAAATTAGAGGTACGTCTAAATCACAATATACAATAATCACATGGTCACATGGTCACATGGTCACATGGTCACTTTGTCACATGGTCACAGAATGTGTCATAATCACGTGGTCACATGGTCACATGATTCAGATTGAATACTTATAGTAACATTGAATCACATTTGTTTTCAGGGTATTAAAAGCATACTGCAGATAGAAAGCGGTGAAGAAGCACTTCTTTTTGATTTGGAAGGGTATGAAGGGAGTACAGATGCAAAGGTTCAATTTTGGATGCAACATCTGAAAAAGAACCCGGAAAGCATATGTTGGAAGAAGAGTCGCGATGCAGAGCTGCATTGCAGAAAGTCATTGGAGACAAAAAGGAAGGGTAAGCGCAAAGTATTGATAGACGATGATTCAGAGGAAGTAGATGAGAAAGAAGATGAAGAAGAAGAAGTACAAGAACGAGAGCAGTAGCAACGGCAAAAACAACAACAACAACAACAACAACAACAAAAGGCTTTTCGTCAAGGAGTAACGGGGGTGTCACATATTGAAGCACTGAAGAAATATATACAGCTGGAAATAAAAGCGTCTGAGAGCCGAATCATCGATTCTGTTGGGGATATAGTTCGACGGCTTTTCAAGGACGTTGGATTCCTTTTTGATCCAGTTACAGAGATTCCAACAGAGCCCATAATTTTGAGGACAAGTCCCCGCCACACAGAGGGGTTGACGATAAGTCCGATAGATCTGGGCAATGTGAGGACGAGCCCAACCTTCAAAGAACTAGAGTATGAAGAAGCAAAACCGACAACTCCGATAGATTCTGTTGGGACTGATGAATATTATGATAAGGCAGAGGAAGAATACTTTATATTGTTGTCTCGAGATGGGACTCCTATGGCTGCCTCGCCCAAGAATGCACATAAAGCAGAAGGGTGTTCAGGACTTGACACAATTATGGCTATTATTACTGCACAAGTAGGAAGTAAGTACTGGAATAAAGTTTCAGTCACAATGTAATTAGGTCACATGGTCATAGAATTTAATTTGATTGTATTCACTATTTTTTGTTTAGGTGATGGTGATAAGGATGAAGGTCACGATTCTCAAGATCACGATGATAATGATGATGGTGACAATTCTGAAGGTGATGATGGCAATGATGAGGATGATGGAGATAAAGAAGAAGATGATGGGGATGATGAAGAAGATGAAGAAGATGATGATGGGGATGATGAAGAAGATGAAGAAGATGATGATAAAGATGATGATCAAGATGATGCGTCGGATGATGATAAAGCCAATGAGGATGATGTAATGTCTGAAAAACCTAACGAAGAGGTAGTGACACAACCTGAAGTAGAAGTTATCCCCCCAACACCATTGAAAAGGAGTAAAAGAAAAGTTGCTGATGGTCCGACCAAGAGAAGTCCCTACGTCGATCCAGTATCAAGTGCCCCCTGCAAAAAGAACCCGATCCCATGCATACCGGGGCAGAGGAAAAGGTAGGGGTAGAGGAAAAGGTAGAGTCACCATTAATACGAGCCACAAGGAAGTTGAAGTTGCTGAGGTCGCTGAGGATTCAACCGAGAAAGAGGTTATTGGTGAAAAGGAGTATGTGTGGAATCCTGAGCGCATTCAAAGTAGTGGTAAGTTCCTTATCCGGAATCAATCATTTGTTGAATGCGATGGACCAAGGGCTACATCTCTATGGGAATTTATGAAGAAGCCAGAAGAAAAAAGGTTGTGGAAGTCAGGGTTGAATGTTGAGGGGGAACCAAGTTTTTGGGAGACGCTTTTGGAAGTCGGACTATGGCTCACAGATACTGTAAGTGTACTCGGTCACACAATCACAATCACACAGTCACACAATCATAGAGTCACGTGGTCACACGATCACGATCCCATGGTCACATGGTCACAGAATCTCAAGAGTTAATGTTGCTTGTATTTACTGACATGTATTGTTTTATTTTGTAGCACATGGATGAGGCGATGTACGAACTTCGAACCCGCATTATAAAGAATCCTGTGACCTTCATTGGATGCAATTACTTGGTGTGTGACACCGTGTTTGTTGAGTTAATCAATACATGGGCCGAATCGGAAGATATGACAACTGTGGGCGATCTACAGCCATACTTCAACGGAAGGCTTCCAATTGGTTGTGCAGGAACGTCGTTGATCAGCTACGAGGGATTCGTGAGTGTGCTTAATATTCTCGGATTTGGCAATGATGAAATCAGCTGTAATTGGATTGCCATTAAAGTGGATTTCAGTGAGAAAACTCTTGAAATCTACGATTGCCAAGTCAGACTGCAGGAAAAGGCGAAAGAGGCTGTTCAAAAACTCTGTCATGCCGTTCCGAAGTTGTGTTGCCTCGCTGGGTCGGAAGCTTTCGCTGATGGAGATGTATTGGACATTGAGTATGTGCAGGATGTACCACAAAACAATGGGGAAGAATGCGGGGTTTTCGCAGTGAAGTACATCGAAGTCATTTGCCTTGCCAAAGAGCAGATGCTATTACCATTGATATGCAATGACAATGTCACGCTGATCCGTGAACAACTAGCAGCAGCAATATTCGCTAATGGCAAGCCTCGAAGGTTTAGGAAGAAGAGATAGTGAACGATTTCTAAACCCTTTTTATGTTTATGTTGTTGTGAACACTTTTTAAGACTACTTTTGTTTGTTTGACATTATCTTTTTTACGTTTATATAACTTGGAAAAAAATCTCGGATTCTTAATGTTTGTATAGCAAATTTTTGGGGTTAAAATTCAATAGATAAAAATTTGGGGTTAAAATTTGATAGGAAAAAAAATATAGAGTTAAAATTTGAGAGGGAAAAATTTAATAGATGAAAAATTGTGGTTAAAATTTGAGAGAAAAAAAAAATATAGAGTTAAAATTTGAGAGGGAAAAAATTAGGGTTAAAATATGGGAGGGAAAAATTTTAGGGTTAAAATATGGGAGGAAAAAATTTTAGGGTTAAAATTTGGGAGAGAAAATAAACAGGGACCCACAAAACCAAAAAGACTAGCTGACAATTTCTTCGTAAGGGTCCCACAACATGTTTCGGTCACAATGGGTCACAGTCGGTCACAACCGGTCACAACCTTCGATCCATGCGATTTTTGTCAATTTAATCAGTTTACAACGTCACACATCCCTCATAAGCTTATTTTATGTTGTTTTGAACAATAAAATACGGTTTTGGTGATTTTTTGGTTTCAAAGTTGGTATTCCAAATGTGTTCCTATATGTTTCATATTGGTTTATGAGTGATTTTGGCAAAATTGACATATTTCTTCTACAAGCCCATTTAAATAAATTTTAGTTTTGCCTCTAACACTATATATTTGATATATACACTCTGATAAATCATCCCCAGGCTTTAAAATTCAAGTTTGGTTTATATTTATGAACACATTTCGGTCACGGGTCACAGTCGGTCACAGTGGCCACACAGTGCAAAATTGCACTTCGGCCACATGGTCACATGCCGGTCACAATGGTCACAATGTTGTCTCATGTGAGTCCATTCATATAGTGTCTAACTTAAACCAGATGTATGTCAAAATTCATCTTCAATAATACATCTTTATTATGGTACAAACACAATATTATATATCATTATATTATACACACATTACAATATCATCAACCAAAGTTCTTTGACATTATTGTACAAATGTCTTGCAAATACCTCATAATATCAATACAACACACAACAATTATTATAAAGATTTTCAACATTGTCGATGTTTTTCACTCTAAAATAGTTGTTCTCTCTGACATTGCCGATGTTGATGTTTCCGCTACACATTTGATTCTCTTCCGTGCTTCTCCAGGACCAGGAAACCGATTTTGTTTAGGCCTCCCACATTATCGTTTCTCATCCATGATAGGAGGCATTTCCACAAGATTTGTAACATCCGGGTCATTGATAATCCATTCACAGCAATCGGGGACCGGATACACGGTTTCCTGATAGGCAAGACGCCATGCCTCCCGTGTATAGTATGGAGAACATAAGTCTAGTATAACATTCGCTTTACCAACCTTATGAAGTGCTGCAATTGCATGGCTGCATGGGATCTTATCGATATCAAACACCCTACAACTGCACGTTCTACATTCAATGCTAACAAAGTGTTTTCTACCCTTTTCACCCATCACTTCAAACTCCTCTGTAACAGTGTTTAGCACAATGACTTCATACGTACATGCAGTCTCATACCTCTTATGGCGCACTTTGTCAACATGCGGTGTCATTTTTTGTGAATCATCGGCACATCCTGCTTCAACTCTATATCTATTGAACCATTCCACGGTCTTGGAGACACACATATCCAGAAGGCCCAGCATCGGAAACCTTTTGGCCTTCTTCATTACAGAATTTATTGATTCCTCTGCATTTGTTGTCAATAAATTGTACCTTTGACGCTTAAATTTACACCTTGCCCATTTCTCGGGATCAAGTTCTTCTTTCTGCATATACTCCGCAACTTTGGGATACCTACACAAACAATGGTCACATGGTCACATGTGTTCAGAATAAGCAATGGTCACATGATCACAATATACAATAGTCACAATATACAAGTCACATGGTCACATTGATGATGGTCACATGGTCAAACGGTCACATGGTCACATGGTCACATTGATGATGGTCACATGGTCACATGGTCATATTGATGATGGTCACATGGTCACATGGTGACATGGTCACACGGTCACATGTTTCAGAATAATCACAATTTTATATTAGGTAATAATGGTTAACAAAAACCTCGTACCTGTCCTTTATATCATTAAACAGGTCTTCAAATTCGTTCAACGTATAAGCTTCAGCGCATTTGAAGAACCGTTCGGCAACGCTATCACCTCTCGAACTTTTTCTTCCCATGCCTTTGTTAACCTTGATGTCTCGCACAAAATCCGTGTCCGGCTTCTTTGTACACTTCGCTTATGGCTTTTATTATACTCCTACGTCGATCAGAAATCACGACAATATCAGGTCCATCTGGGATTGCCTTTATTAACATTTTCATAAACCACCTCCATGATGCATCTTTTTCTCTATCAATAACCCCCCAGGCTAACGAATATAGGTGGTGGTCACCGTCTTGTGCCGTCGCAACAACCAATGTACTCTTGTATTGTCCCGTGATAAATGTTGCATCAATTGCAATCACTTTACGCATGTAATTCCGTCCTCTTACCATTGCACCCAATGCGAAGAAGAGATATTTGAAACTTTTGCCATCTTTGTCCAACTCAAGACCGACAATCGTTCAGGGATTTCTCTTTTGCAACATGTGCAACCACCCAGTAAGCTTTTTGAAATGCTCAGCAGGATCACCTCGAATCTCACTTTCACCTTTATATTTGCCTCGTAATGCCGTCAAATATGTTACGGTTGTACCGTACTTGGCTTTTACCCTGTCTACAATTTCATGGGCTGAAGGGATACTATCAAGTTTACCGGGAAATTCTTCCTTCAAATAATCCCGAACCAATTTCTTTGTACCCCTCAAAGCTTCGCTTGTTTCAGTTATGGGTTTGCAGCTATGCATGGGATTGTGTTTTCTTACACTCCAACGCTCCGAGTTTAAAATCAATGTCGTCCGCAACTTCCAATTACAGCCCGATTCAGCAAATTTGCATGTTATTTCCCACAACCTTTTCTCGGACTTCAGTGTACTAAAACGAAAACGACCCAGAGTTGCACCCTTGCGAACAAATTCTTGTGTTGCTTCCTTATTGTCAAACTCATGGCCAATTGTGATATTTAAACCATCACTGAATCTGAATACATAATTCGAAAACCGAGAGTCTGCTACTATCTCAATCGCCAAATCATCACCACCATCAGCACGATCCCCATCACATTCAGTCACTATAACATCCCTAAGGCCACTAGAATGTTCACTGTCAGAAAGATGTATAACATCTATCACATTATTACTCCAAACTTTACTCTTAAAATTAGGGCTCAACATAACACAATCATCATAATCTATCCCATCTCGCTTCCTACTACCGCCAATACCACTTTCACCAGTAGGAATTATAGGTTGTTCTTCATCATTTTGTTCACATTCACCTTTCACCCGTACCTCATCTATCTCCACATAAAGCATGCCTCGCATTCCATTTATTTTATCCAGTAGATAAATATGAACATGCTTGTCATTCCATAGGTAGGTGGGCTTTCTGTTTTCTTTTATATTTGGCAAATAGCTCAGCTTGATCTCTACTTTATCTTTATCCACCTTCATCTCTGAACATAACTCTTGAACAAGTTCGCTATAGGCCATCTCCAAGGGGGGACAAAAGAATAACAATCTTTGGTTTTCCATAACCCTTCCTTCCCATTCATATTCTCCATTCGTATTCTGTATCCAAGCACCACCATATAGAAAATATATAATTGTTGACCTCTCGTCTCGCCCTTCCATTATACCACTGGAAAACAGAGTTATAAAATGAAGATCAATTCGACCATTCTCAACATTGTGATCATGTGATCATGTGACTATGTGACTTTGTGACCATTATTACCAATCTGACCATTCTGAAACATGTGACCATGTGATCATGTGACTATGTGACTTTGTGACCATTATTACCAATCTGACCATTTGGAAACATGTGACCATGTGACCATGCGATCATGTGACCATGTGACCATGTGATCATGTGACCTTGTGATCATGTGACATTGTGACCTTGTAATCTTGTGACCTTGTGACCTTGTGACCTTGTGACCTTGTAACCTTGTGACACTGTTCCTATTGTCACCCATGTGACTGGTTTTCCTAATGACTCATGAACCATGAGACCAAGTGACCCTGTAATAGTGTGACCGCGTGATCACTTCACCATATAACCCCTAATCTATTTGTATGATGCATATTGTGACCATTGTGTCATGTTTCTATAATCACCCATATAAGTGTTGTGCACATTGTGATCATTGTGACCCATATACCCATGTTGACATTCATGAAAATTAACCTGTGTGACCGTGACACAGAACGATGCTCGGAATGCATCCAAAATGAGATCTGATATAGATTTTTGTTTACAAACGACACAACTACAGAAAACACAACAATTGGAAGGAAAAAACCGCAAAAACTATCAATGTGTATGAAAAAAACTGAGATTTCGACACAAACTTACCTATTTCCACTTTCGTCACTGATTTCACCTTGATTTGCACGTGATTTTGACCAAATTCGACAATTTTTGAAGAGAAAATAGAAAAAATGAGGAGGAGAGAGAAAACGCAGTAGAGAGAAAGAGCTTGGTTGATAATGGCGAGAGGAGGAGAGAGAAACCGTTTTTGAAGAAAGAGAAACCCTAAAAAAAGGAGTTTTCTTTTATTTTTTAAATTTATTCTATAGGGTATTTGTGTAATTTGTGAATGAAAGGGGTAAATTAGAAGTTGGAATTTCTTTTTCAAGATGAGGGTAGCACTAGAAGTCCTTATAGCACATTGAGGGTAATTTGGAAGTTCCCCCTTGTATAGTTTATTTACTATACATGCAGTTCCGCTTGCGTAGTCTTTTATATTTAATTTTATATTTTCTTTGAGTCTCTTCATTCATACTACCGTATTGTAGCTCCGGTACGACATATCATCCTCAGACAAATGGAGAATCGGAACAGACGATACAGACTTTGGAGTATATGCGTCGCTCATGTGTATTAGAATGGAGAGCCCCGTGGGATCAGTACATGACGTTGTGCGAATTTGCATACAACAATAGTCACCATGCAAGTATCGGCGTACCACCGTATGAGGCATTATATGGGAGACCGTGCAAGACACCTTTGTGTTAGATAGAGATTGGGGAGAGACGGGAGTTCGGGCCTGAGATTGTAGAAGAGAGTACAGAAGCGATTCAAAAGATTTGAGTGAACCTGAAAATGGCATAGGATCGACAAAAATCGTATGTCGACGAGAGGAGGTAGGACTTCACCCTTGAAATTGGAGATCAAGCATTCCTCCGAATTCAGGCCATGCGAGGGCACGCTAGGTTTGGACAGGGCGGCAAGTTGAAACCGCGATATATCGAACCTTATCCGGTGATTGGGAAGGTAGGAGTAGTAGCATATCGACTTTGGTTGCCTTCAGAGCTGGGCAACATCCACGATGTGTTCCATGTGTTGATGCTACGGAGATACGTAGCAGACCCTTCCCATGTGCTACACCCTCAGGAGTTAGAGTTCACGAATGCTACGTGCTTTCGAGACGAACCGCTATAGATAACGGACCGAAAGGTTAAAAAGCTGAGGACGAAGGAGGTGCCATTAGTGAAGGTGTTGTGGAGAAGCCAAGGGTTCTCGGACATGACTTGGGAACCCGAGGAAGAGATGCATAGTAACTACCCCTATCTTTTCGCTTGATATTGTACGAACTCTTGTGTATGATGGTGGGAAGTATGGAATTCCTACATGATGTATGACATTGCTGTAATAGAGTTGTTGGGTATTGCGCCATGAATGCAAGTGAATTGACGACATCATGTAACTCTGAATTTGGGGACAAATTCTCTTTAAGGGGGGGGGGAGGATTTGTAATAACCCGAATCCAATTTGGAATATTTAATTAATTTCGGAGGAGAACAAATATATAAACGGGTACTAAACCTTAAGAAATAGACCACAAAGTGTTGGAAAAAGGCCCGGAAAACCACCCCGAGCGATCTAGACCACGGAAATGGATGGACCGACCGGTCTAGACCACAGAAATGGCTGGACCGACCGGTCTAGACCACGGAAATGGCTGGACCGACCGGTCTAGACCCAGAATATGCCCGAAGTGACCTGGACCGACCGGTCTAGGCCCCGGGAATGCCCGGACCGACCGGTCTAGACTAAAAATTGATAAAATTGAGCCAAAAAGGCCTTGGGATGAAATATACACCTTGGGATTGACCAAATTATGTGAAAAACGAGCCAGAACATGACAAAATGTAAAAAAGAAGAGTTGGAATAAATTATTAAATTGAATGCGTGGTGAGATGTGCGACATACACTGAGTGAATTGTTGTATGTTGATTGGGTTTTATTCTCCGATGGATCACGAGAAGTGATATCGGTTGTCACGAGAAGTGACATGTGATGGATGTGATGCTCTAGGATGATCATTCGATATGAGAACTATGTATGATACGATGTATTTATTGGATGAATGCATTATTTGTTCATTATTTATTTTGCATATTTGATAAATAATGATTATCCATGGATCGTTATGAACGATCCTAAATTCCTTAGTCGCTTGTCATTGTGGGAACAATGATGAATTAAGACTAACATGAAGCGTGATGGATGATCATATGTATTGGATACGGATCACGGTCATGGGTACTTATTTGGAACATGTGACCAGATGACTCGCGTGAGATTGTCGATTGGATTTAATCCATGATTTGAATCTCACTTGCTGGTGCACTTTAAATCCTCAGACCTGAGATATCTATTGTATCCATCATGACGATTGGATTTAATCCATGATTTGAATCTCACTTGATATACTTTGACTATGTCAAACGTCGTCTTTAACCGGATGATTATAAAGGCGTGGCTCGGATACATTGCGAATCATGTATGGATAGTAGATAGTCAAGATGGAACTTTGTCCCTCTCGGAAGAGAGAGATATCACTTGGGCCCGTCGTAGGAGTGAGACTGTAGAAATGTGTGGCCGCACTATAGATGAATGTCATCTATCTCTTACAGTCTACTCGGGATACGACAAAGCATTCGAACTGTGAGTTCGATTATGATATCGTGAGACAAAGAGGATCATCGTTGGAGCTATCTCTGTCTTTTCAATTAGATCACATCTAACTCTTTCCGATACAGGTAATCATAATGTCTTGCTAGAAACCGCTTATGATTTGTAAAGCGAGATTGGATGTCGCGGTTACTGCCGTATTCGGAGGGGCATAAAGGGTCACACACATATGGGATGCACGTATATGTACGGGATCGAACGGACGAGAAAAATCGGATTTTTCTCGGTCTTTGAGGTCTTGTCCAGAGCTGACCAAGAGTTAGTCAGCCGGACTAGACAGTCTTGGGAGAGGCGGACTGAATGGCAGAAATAACTACCTGGTCCGGGGCTGACCAAGAGTTAGTCAGCCCCGGACCAGATAGTCAGTCGCAGCAAAACGCGTGGCTCGGAGTTCGGCTGGTCCGGCGGACCAGGCACAATCCGGACTAGTTTTTGGTCCGCCGAACCAACAAGTCAGACGGAGTGCACGTGGTCCGGATCGTGCATGGTCTGCTGGATTGTGGACTGTCGGCAAACTCGGATTTTACGTGTGCTTGGTCCGACTGACCAAGAGTCGGTCAGCCCTGGACCAAGACACTAAAAAATCCGAACTTCGCGTTTTCTCGCCTTTTTCTTGGTGGAAAGCAGGTGGAGAACCTATCACTCGATCTAATCTCGATCCTTAGCCATCTGAGAGGCTAGGGAACTCTATAGAACTCTCTCTCAAGCTCAAGAGAGTGGTCTTAGTCATGCGATGTGACTAGAGTTTACGGCTAACCCTATGGTGCGAAGCCATAAGGGATTTGATTGTTGCACGAAGCAACGACCAATGTCATGAGATGTGACGGGCGTGAGAGGTACTCCTAGTCATGCGATGTGACTAGGGTTTATGGCTGATTCTATGGTGCAAAGCCATACATATTTGATTGTCGTGAAATGCGACGGCCAACGTCATGAGATGTGACGGGCGTGAGAGGCGTTCCTGGTCATGAAAAGTGACCAGGGTTTACGGCTAGCCCAATGGTATGAAGCCATACGAGAATTGATACGATGATGTTTTTATATGATATAAATATATGTTTAATATTGAATAATTATATTTTGTGTTTTATCGTTTTAATACCGTTCTCGGTTGGAACGAGTTTATCGGATCCAACCCGGATCATTCACTAAGCAGTTGTGCTTAACCCTCGTGGTTTCACCTTTTTCAGATCGTGATGTGGGATATGTTCATGTTTCGATTATGTTATGTTATGTTAGTGTATCACTTTTCATGTTGGTGTTTGAACAGAGTTTAGATGGAGATATATTTGATTGTGTTAACATCACCAACCAACTCGCGTTTGATCATCCTTTACTAAAGAACCACACTATTAAGGTATATATCTTTTTTCTTTACAAGTTGTTTTGCTTTTCTCCTTTTGAATCTTTTTTTTTTGTTGATACTTTCTCTATATATAGTTTTTATTTGCTATTTATTTTACATTATTTCTTTTGTGTCATTCGGATTGCCAAATAGATGAGGCCGAGTTTTATCCCAAAAGATCTTTTTAGAAACAATAAAAAACAATCGGGGCTCATAAGTGCTCAGTTATGGCAAAGGAGTGGAAAATGCCCAGAAAACACTGTACCAATAAGAAGAACAACAAGAAAAGATCTCTTACGATGGAGTTCCATCGAAAGTTACGGGAAAAAGGATCCAAATGCCATCCGTAACTATGGATCTCACCTAGTTGCAAATTTTAATCGCACTATACATGAGGTATATTTTTGTTAGCAATTTCACAGACATTCAAGCCTCAAGTATGTTATGTTCATTGACCCTTTTTGCATCAGTATGCCATAATTCGAGGGAGAAGAGGAGTAATATATAACGGAATAGAAGCTGCAATCAACGTGTGGAAACCACATGTTCAAGAATGGAATGAGTTTAGTTTGGCCCAAATGTGGATTGTGGTCGGTATTGATGCTCCGGATCTTAATTCCCTCGAAGTTGGTTGGCAGGTTTTTGTCCGTTGGTCTTGTTTCATTCAAATGTCCGATCATTTATGATTTTGACCTGACTCAAGCCATAGTTCAAAAACATTTGTTGATAGGTGTATCCAAGATTGTACGGTGACGATAACCCCCGTCTCTTTATTTTATGGACCGTAAGTTTGCTTGATCATGGTCTAATATTTCCTCGTATTTTCCCATATTGGCATACGACGTAGCTAATAAGCCATTCTCATGTGTGATGATGAAATGGGAAACTCAACAAAAAACAGGCTGATCGTTACAAAACAGGCTGCTACAACCACCTGTGTTCCGGCTTTGTCCAAACCAACCAAGCGATCGGTATTGGTGCTACCTTTGACCGAGTTTCAACCTACGATGGCGAACAATTTATGGTCACACTACTTATAATGAAGGTGAAAAGAAAGAAATCTTGACTCTTTGGCCTAAATCACGTTAACAAACTTCATATATAACTATATAGAGAAGTAATTGTTTTGCAGGATCCCCAGAGTGGAGATTGGTGGCTCATTGTGAATGATGTGAGTGTCGGGTACTGGCCGAAATCAATCTTGTCACATCTAAAGGGCTCTGCATCGGCCGTCGATTGGGGAGGTGAGATCTTGAATTATAAAGTAGGCGGCCGACACACGAACACCGACATGGGAAGCGGCCACTTCGCGGAGGAAGGGTTCAAGAAGTCGTGCAACATGGACCACATTTCCATAGTCGACGAACATCACGTCAAGAGGGATGCCGAGATCGTTCAAGCCGACATGGATAATGCGAAATGTTACAATTTAGCTCATGGGAGTAACGATCCTAACTGGAGAACTTACATCTACTTTGGCGGTCCAGGTCAAAACCCTGGCTGTCCGTGAACGAACGCATGCCCATTTCTGAAAGAAGTTGAAAGAATAAATGTTTGCTCTAATAAGAGTAACCAAAAAAGCTTATAACATAATTCTTTAGACAAAACACATTTCCATAATCTTGTATAATTTTATAAATTGAAATGGGCATCTCCAATAGAAGGAATAAATGTTTCGGTTTCTATTAAAAAAATAGATCTTTTTAAGAATTTTTTAAAATTCGATTCGACTCGATTCGATTCCAAAAAATTCAATTTTCTAAAAAAATATTGTTTGAGAATTTTGGACACTTGTGTAACAACCCAAGATTTTTTTAAAAAAAAGCAAATTGTCCGGATCAACCTGTGCAGGTTGTCGGCAAGGCCAAACAAACCACACTGACCTATATCGATCGATCTAGACATAAACCGACCGATCCAGATATTGGATAGACGGAAAAATCACAATATCTGACCAGATTTCGACCATAAAACCATCGACTCTCTATTTTTCGACCTAAACTTGATTTTCTCGACCGTAAAGACCTTAGGACGCAATGTTTCTGCCATGTGTCCGGATTTTCTACCCAAGATTTGTCCAATTCGAGCTCTATTTAACCATTCATCCATCTCATTGTTCATCAGTCTTGAGAACCGAATCAACTCTAGCAAGCTTTTCATTCAACACCTAACATGCGAGCATAACTCGAGGTGAGTGAATTCGAGTTTAATTCAGAATTCTTCTCCTATGATATTTGGGTTTTTGGATGTTTCCGTGCAAAATTAATTCTTGATTCATGTTCGATATGAGATTGTATGAGTTTTAGTGAATTTTCCATAGCAAATCATGCATGTTTGAGTGATTTTGGTGAATACTAAGCATTAGATCGATAAGTTTAGGGTAGAACAGATCGATCTAGGGTTGCAGAAGAGTTCACGATGTGCAGAGGTTGAAGACGAGTCCAGACCGACTGGTCCACACAAGTGTCTAGACCGACTGATCCAGAACATCCAGACCGACCGGTCCAAACAAGTGTCTAGACCGATAGGTCCAGAGGGTTCAGACCGACCGGTCAAAGTGATGGACCGACCGGTCTGGACAGACTAATCCAAAAGAAAGAAAAGGTTTGGATCGATCAGTCCATGGGTTGGACCAACTGATGCAGAGAAAAATCAAGCTGAAATTCTAAAAATTCATAGAATAAGCTAGATGAGGGAGAGAAAAACTAGACCAGCCGATCTAGACATTAGACCAACCCGATCTAACTGAAGAAGAGAGAAATAAAAATTTAAACCTCTAAAAAGACATGGATCGAGTCGGTCTAATATTTAGACCGAACGGTCCAATCCAGAAAATACTATTCGGGTCAAACGTCAAACCAAACCGAAATGAAATACGGATTAGAACGGACACCACATAGTCTGTACCCCAAATAGAATGTTAGTTAAGTCTAAAAACCACGAAATAAACTGAACTGATTATCTGGGCGTAGGTCAAACCGGATGTACAATTGGGTAAATTTAATATAATAAACTGAAAAGAAGTATATAAAATTATTACAAGGAGAACTACAAAACTGGGCAAATGAAAATGCTTGTATAGTAAAAAAAAGAAAAATCACATATAAATACCTGAACTTTTATAAAAATACCACATAAATACATGAACTATAAAATTTTTATATAAATACCTGAATTTTTCTAAAATCCTATATCAATGTTCAGACTTCTGAAAAACTCCCAAATAAATCTAAAATACGTTAATAATATCACTTATTTTTATTTAAAAAATTCCTGAAATTTGTAGTTATTTGGAAATTTTTTTAAAGTCTAGGTCTTTATATAGGATTTTTAAAAGTTCGGGTATTTATAGAAAAGTTTTATGGTTCAGATATTTATATGAGATTTTTGTAAAAGTTCCGATATTTATATGTTATTTTATCTAAAAAATATATAAATGCTTGTGAGAGGGGTAACTAGTATGGCGTTAATATTAATTCGAAAGAGTTCAGATTACGTCGCATCCATGGGATATTCGATCCGAATCGGATGTGTGACGTCCGTAACCCATGTACCCCTCACGAGTTGCACCACATGGACACTCAAAACATAACTCAAAGTCTCGAGAATTTTTAAAACATTTTATTTATACATATATACACAGCGAAAATAAGTATATGTCCAACAAACTCACGTACAGTAGTATACACACCATAACATAAAGACGGTGACTACAATATAAACATAGTCATATCACCGTCGAGGACAAAACCGCATAAGTCCGAGAAAAGAGAAGTACATGATCCTGCAACTACTCACATGTCACTAGTACCCTGGTCCTGCCGCTGCCAATACTGTTCCGAGCCTGAAACGTTGCATAACAACGTCCATAAGCTACATGCTTAGTGAGTACTTCGGGTTAAACCCGAAGATCATACTCAAATTGCAAATGGCCAAGCACAAGCAACGATATACACATAGTACTTATATACATGCTCAACATCGCATATCATCGTGCGTAATGCATGCATCAAGCACAAACAGTCCAGATGATAAGTCATCGGACATATCCGTCAAATCGTCTCTATGCGAATCATACACATAGGATAGTACACGGATCTGGTATCACCAGTCCAGGACATGTATACAAGTCATAGCTCAACCCAATCGGGTCTATCAGTAATACTGGTGCCGTCAAATCATCTCCACGGGTGCATCACACGCGTGGGTACAACTCTCCATGTGCTACGTTCGGTCTAGGTGAACCAGAAACTCTGAACTTCGATTTTTCGCACCAAACTCAACATGCTATTGATCAAAATGATCCTTGGAACATTAGGAACTCAAATCTAAGATCAATTTCATGCAATTTTCAGTCAAAGCAAGCAAATCCCTATTTTCAATTTGATTATCATATTCGGGCTTAATCCAAAACACTCACCTAATTCAAATTTGAGCTTTGGGCTTTTTTGGGGAAGTTTCCTAGAGTTGATTGCTGGGTTTATTTGTTGATTTCGACCAAAAACGAAGCTCTAATGGAAGCCCAAACCTTTGAGAGAGTTTGCGAGAAAGAGAGAGAAAGAAAGTGAGAGAGTGAGAGGGAGTGAATGACGAAAAAGAGAGGGACTTAGCCCCTGCTCCGGCTCCCATGTCATGTCTCAGACTCCTTGGCTGCTCCAAATGACTTTGACCAAAGGAATCTCCTTATTCCGCAATCTCTTAACCTTTCTGTCAATAATCTGAAGTGGCTGGTCGCAGATTCTAATGTCACTGGTAAGCCCAATCTCCTGTGGTCGTAGTATATGCGAAGGATCCACGATGTACTTCTGTAACATGGATACGTGGAATACATCGTGAATATGGCCGAGCTCTGGGGATAAGTCCAATCAATATGCTACAGCCCCGACCTTCGCAATCACAGGATAGGGTCCAATGTAGTGCGGCTTGACCTTCCCTGTCTTCCCAAACCGTGTATGCCCCCTAATCACCTGTACTGGGAAAAATACAAGATAGCCCACCTCCACTGTAAAATTTCTCCTCCTTTGATCTGCATAGGACTTCTGGCGATCCTGTGCGAACCTTAGATTGACCTTGATCTTGCGAATAACCTCGGTGGTCTCTTCCACAATCTCAAATCCAAAGATACATCGCTCTCCAATCTCCGTCCAACACAAAGACGTCTTACAAGGCCACCCATATAAGGCCTCGTAAGGTGGCATACTAATAACTCCTATTTTTCTCTATATTTTGATATGACTTTGTCTAGGTTTTATAGGATAATCACATACATTCATAGACATTCTAGGCGTGTTAGGACACAAAACCCGGTTGTCCTTTAATTTTGCAAAGTTACAGGTTTCGAAGGTGATTGGACACGAAAAGGAACTATTTGGAGCGTTAAAGGAGAAGTCCAGATGAGGTACTCATGTTGCGACATCAATAACGGTACCATTGGAAAGAGCACTTCAAGAGCTTCACGTAGACACCAAAATCATGTAAATCTGACACCGGAGCAGGAAGTTATGAGTGAAATCTTGAAGACCAGAAAACTGCCAGTGCAGGGGCGGATCCAACTGGATCCGGTCCGAATCAAGACAACTGAGCGCGGGCCCAGGAATCTGGATCCGGTCCGGATCCACCTGGAAACGGCCTAGATCCAGTCAAAAATCCTGTTTCGCGATTTTCAGCATCAAAATGGGAATAGGACTCTTGGGAGCCGCCCTAGGGTTATAAAAAAGCCCTAGTCACGTCCTAGAACATCAGAGAGTCTTAGAGAACACTTAGATACAAACTTTTGGAGAGCTTTTGGGGAGAGAAGAATAGAAGTTCACGGGATTTCGGGAAGAAGAAGGAAGATTCGATCGTGGAGACTACACATCTACATGAGCTTTTCTTTCCTCTCTTTTATCTCTTTTTCTGTGAGCTTTTTGTTGTTTTCTATGAACCATGAGTAGATCCACGAGTACGGGTTAGGGATTCATTTGTGTTTTGGGTATGTTTGAACCCTAACTTGGATTTCAGTTTTGATTTGTTTCGGTTCTATTGATTTGCACTTTTATTGGATTGATGTTTGCTAACCCCTTGGTCAATTATCTTAGATTCTGAACTACATAGAGATATGAGTTGGTTTCGGATCAAAATCAATAGGATAGATCTTATTATTCACATAGAAATATGGTTTAATCGATCTAGGGTTGATGATAGCGTTTGTGACACCCGTAACCCGTGTACAGTATATGGGTTGTGCCACATGGACGATATAAAGTAAAATAATAAATTAATAAATGGCGGAAGCGAAAATTCCGAAATCCAAAAACATTTTTAATTAAAATCAGAGTAGCAGCGGGAAATACAAAGCGATTAGTATCGCAAAAAGTCACATGTCCGAATGTTCATAATACAACCGTACAAAAGTCGAAACGATAAGTTCTTTGATTCAGAATACAAATCCCGTACATGATGCTGCTTCTCTCGGTTCGTCGTGTGCTGAGGTGCTAGGCGTAATCCTCGTGATCTGAAAAATATAAACCA